CTCAAGTTAGGGAAACAAAGGCGGCTGGGCATAATTTTGACTCCTTGCATGCCGAGCTCATTGAAACAGACGAACTCTACTTCATATTTGTCTTGTGAACAAAACGGAAAAAAGATGATGAATATGTTTGGTTTTAACTAAACTTCACTTAATCAAGTAGACACATTACATTTAAAAAAAAAATATTTTTCTTTACTCAACGTTGTTGTGTTTATGAGAAAGGTCAATAACTCGGCTAGGTTGCCAAGATTTCCCTCCCCTGGTTTAAAAAAAAAATAATGTCTATGAATCTTTCACCTGTCGTGTTTAAGGATAGGTTTTAAAATCTGTTTTGTGGTGTGCTACTTCATCTGTAGGTTAGTAAGCTCATTCTGTTTTTTCCCCTCTATTTCTTTATATATATATATAAAAATGTTCAGCTTATTCTTCCTTCTAACTGGCGTACATATACTACACATACACACTCATGGATACACAAAAGCACTCGTAGGCACACACAGCATACACATACGTACCCACATGCATACAATCACACTTTCACTGTAGTTCCGTGTATCGATGCAACCAAAGCCAAACAGAATGGCACATCTGTTTGGGTGGTATCGATATACTCCAATACGGGCATTATGACACGTCTGTGTGTGTGTTTCTGGGGGTGGGGGGTTGGGTGGTATCGATACACCCATTGCTGCCCTATGAACGCATCTATTTGGGTGATATCGGTATACCGAATACAAGCATAATGACACATCTGTTTGTTTCTGTCTGGGGGTGGTATCGATACACAATTGCTATCAGAATCACGTGCTCGTTTGGTAAGTATCGATACACCCATTACCAGCACGCATTCTCAGACGATTAAGCCAAGCTGCTTTACGGATTACCTGGTGACCGCTGTTTGGATTAGGCTAGAAAACATCCGGTTATGGTTAGGTTTTAATTGCTGAATAATCGATGTCATTGACTTTAAAGCATTGAGAAATCTACTTTCTAGTTCGACTTTTTTTCTGGCACTTCTATGATCACCGCTGGTGGAATAACGCCATTGAAACACAAACTACAAGCTTTGGCACTCCAAGAGAGAGCATCGGACGACGGTCTCCGTCGTTGGACTGACAACACTGCTAATGCCTCGCTTGATTACAAATTTAAATGAGTGAACGGTTTCAAATTTTAAAAGGGGGCGGTCGTTGATTGGAAAAGTCGGGTCTCCATCTGGGTAGGGCGTTGTGGGGAATCTTTGTGAGCGGGGCGGGCACGATTTGGGTGTTTTCATGACCCGGCTTTGAGAGTAGGATTTGTTAGATGGGCTTGTTGAAGTTGAAGTGAGATGGGACTGCTGGCGTTGATACGTGATCTAATTGTTGAAGTTGATATACAAGTGATATGAAGCGAAAATGTTGAAGTTGATATATAAGAATATAACAGTTGGGTGTTACAAATATAAATATACGGTAAAACAAACATGCTTCCTCTAGATCGCGTGTAAATCAATACTGTAATCGTGACAATGTAAAAATCAATACTGTATTGTGAGAATTTGACACTTTCCTTCCAGGTAGTTTTTTTCTAGTTTTTTTTTTCTCAACGAAAAATTTAAAATTTAAAATCTGGCTTGTTGCAAGCTGCGTCTGGCTTGTATGTTCGTTGGCGCTTGTGGTCAAGTTTTAACTGTTAGTCCACAGTTAGTTTTCGGATGATCACAAAATGCAGTAATACTTAGAATGAAAAGTTAAAACTACGAGTACCTTACCTATTTGCATGCTCACAAAGTCATCATTGCAGGTCCAGTCTTTATATCATAGTCCGTCCCCCCCCCCCCCAGTTGTCCACTGAGCTATTGGGTGATGGTGTTGGGTATGAACATCTGGGCAAACTTACAATCACGTTGTATCCCGCATCCTTAGTGACCCCGTTGTGTCAGAGTATGGTCACGTGATCACGGAGCGGGTCACGTGATCACAGAGAGGGTCAAATTTTTATACAAAGACACTCATACACAAAGATACAAACACACTAGCATTCTCCTACACTCACAGATACACACACGCGTACGTCATGCAAACACACACGAGCACACAAAAAACACCCCGTTTGTTTTCTACTCGGAAATCTCCCTCCCCCACCCCCAGCTTAAAATACTAGCGTTACCCCAGTGTTGACAAAGACCAGACGTGAAGGCCCCAGTTTGGTGCACCTGAAAACTATATACACCGTGACGTCATCCGGCCAGACCGCCACATCTTCTGAAGAGCAGACGTCAACAGAAGAACATTTCCTGTGGGTTAGCGCCACCGGCATGGCACATTGTTTGAGCGGGCCCTCACTGGTGATGCTCGGCCTCTCCAGACTGATGTCCTACACTGGTCTCTCCAGGTCATGTCTTAAACAGGCCTCTCCAGGTCACGTCTTTAGACAGGCCTCTCCAGGTCATGTCTTTAGACAGGCCTCTCCAGGTCATGTCTTTAGACAGGCCTCTCCAGGTCACGTCTTTAGACAGGCCTCTCCAGGTCATGTCTTTAGACAGGCCTCTCCAGGTCACGTCTTTAGACAGGCCTCTCCAGGTCATGTCTTTAGACAGGCCTCTCCAGGTCATGTCTTTAGACAGGCCTCTCCAGGTCATGTCTTTAGACAGGCCTCTCCAGGTCATGTCTTTAGACAGGCCTCTCCAGGTTTTGTCTTTAGACAGGCCTCTCTCATGTCTTTACCCTGGCTCTCCAGGTCTTGTCTTACACTGGTCTCTCTAATATCTTTACCCTAGTCTCTCCGGGCCATGTCTTTTGACAGGTCTCTCCAGGGTCATATCTTTACCCTGACCTCTCCAGGGTCATATCCTTACCCTGACCTCTTCAAGGTCATATCTTTACCCTGGTCTGGTGACGGTGACCTGCATTTTGTTCTCTGGACATTAGCTGGTTAGTGGTTCTTCACCTTTATTGGCTTGGTTTTTGGGTTCTGAGCCTTCATAAAGTCGCTTGTTATTGATTCCGGACCTTCATTGTCTGTCTAGTTATTGGTCTGGGACATATAATAATTGTTTTTTGGACATTCATTGTCTGGGTGTGTTTTAATTAGTCTGGACGTAAACTGTCTTCGCTTGTTTTCTGGTGGTGTTAGTGTTTTGGATCAGGACATTCTGTGTATGTGTTTTATTACAGGACATTCAGTGTCTGTGTATTATCACAGGACATTCAGTGTCTATGTATTACAACAGGACATTCAGTGTCTGTGTATTGGATCAGGACATTCAGTGTCTGTGTATTATTACAGGACATTCAGTGTCTGTGTATTACAACAGGACATTCAGTGTCTGTGTATTGGATCAGGACATTCAGTGTCTGTGTATTATTACAGGACATTCAGTGTCTGTGTATTGGATCAGGACATTCAGTGTCTATGTATTGGATCAGGACATTCAGTGTCTGTGTATTATTAAAGGACATTCAGTGTATGTGTATTACAACAGGACATTCAGTGTCTGTATTATTACAGGAAATTCAGTGTCTGTGTATTGGATCATTACATTCAGTGTCTGTGTATTGGATCAGGACATTCAGTGTCCGTGTATTATTACAGGACATTCAGTGTCTGTATTATTACAGGAAATTCAGTGTCTGTGTATTGGATCATTACATTCAGTGTCTGTGTATTGGATCAGGACATTCAGTGTCCGTGTATTATTACAGGAAATTCAGTGTCTGTATTATTACAGGACATTCAGTGTCTGTGTATTATTACAGGACATTCAATGTCTGTGTATTGGATCACGACATACATTATCTATACATTGGAGCTAGTCATTCATGAACTTTTTGTTTGCGTGGACCTCTAGCGCCCCTATCTTGACAAGGTCAGACTTTGGACTTTCCGGCTTGTTTTCTTTTGACCTAAATTCACTTATCCACCGTGCTCCGAATTTGGGACATCAACTCACAGGACTAATATGTATTGCAATGTGTATAATAAATTAGCTTAAAGTATCAACACTTAAATTAACAAGGTGATTAAACACTGGGTATTTAATTATTTTCTTAACCACTTTCTGTTTACTAAGCAATATTAGTACTATTTAGCTTTCTATTATTTTAAAAATGTAGGCCAAGTCTACTTGATTGATCTAGGTTTTTAAAAAAAAGGACAATCTTTTAATTAGTCTTCTTGTGTTTTCTACATCTCTCCTGTCCATTAGCCGTGTGCACGTGATTCCCGTGTTAGAGCGGACGCTGGACGTATGGTAATTCAACCGCGACCATATCAATCCTTGAGATAGCATGAATATTCCATCTCCGACAGTCGGCACCCCCCTCCCGTCCTCCACCTCCCCCCCCCCCCCTCATTCACTGCGCGGTGCTACTCGCCACAGTGTCTATGAACTCGAGTGAAGCTTAGCACTCGATCGCGTTCTGCCGTCAGCGTTGAGGAGGGAGGGGGAGGGAGGGGGGGGGGAGGGTGAGTAGCACGTGCATGCTCGAGCGCGAAGGTTGAGCGGGATCACACACACACACACACACACACACACGGTATTGTCCGCCGCGCGTCTCCCTCTCCACCACCGTTCCACCCCCCTCACATCTGCCCTCGCTAAGCCGGCTCGGCAAACACGGCGTTGAGGACAAGGATACGGTAGGGTTGTGTTGTGGTGTTAGAACAACGCGGCTCTATGTGGTGTAAGGTTTCATAATAGTTTATTTTTTTCACACACAGGGATGGTCGTATTATTTTTCGTTATTTCATGATAAATAAGTATTAGATTCTTAACTTAATTCTATCTCAGGTTTGATACGAAAAACTAACATTTTTTTGTGAACTATGGACTGTTTATATTGAAATAATTAACATTGTTAAAAGGACATTCAAACTTGTCACGGAATTGTTTTTGATGCGTGTAACGTGATAATCATTTAGGCTTTTCTGGACTACTTTGGATACTGTGACCGTAATTGTAGGATGTGATTATCGGATTATCAGAGAATCGATTACTGCCGTGTTTCTTAAGGATTGTTTTCGTTTTATTTTATTCGGGAAATTCCGTTTAGTGACACGTGTTTTTAGAAATTTATTTTATTTTACTTCATTCAAGAAATTAAGACAGGTGATCATTCTTCTAGAAAGGTAAGACATAGTTTTGTTGATGTTTGTTTAGGTGTTTGTGTTGATGTGTGGATTGTGTTGTGTATGTTTTAGTTTGTTATGGGTTTATTGGTGTATGTGTGTATGGGTGGGTGTTGTCTTGATTGTCAAACTAGCCGAAAGTCTATTTGCGTAGGTCGCTTGAATGACACGACAACTGGCCTCATACAAAAGAGTGCGGTACATCTCTATTGATACAACAGTGTTAAGCGGGCCAGATTTAGCGACATTTTTACTTGGTTTGGTGTAGAATTTAGTGTAATTGGTGGTAGTGGTGTAGGTGTAGATGGTAATGATGGTGGTGATGCTGTTGTGGTGGTGGGGTTAGTGAAGACGGTGATAGTCGTGATGGTTGTGTTGATGTTGGTTGGTGATGATGGTGTGTGGATGGTGTTATTGTAAGTGAAGATGGTGATATCTAGATGACGGTAATGGATGTTGGTGATGATGGTGTTGTTAGTAGTGATGGTGAGTCTTGGTGGTTGGAGAATTATGCCAGACGTGACCTTGACATTGTATCGGCCGAAACACGACGAGTCGTTGACTTGCCCGTCACCGCTAAACGGTTTGTCGTTAACACGGCTAGAAAGTCCTGATTGATACTCCCACGGAATTCGATGTGCCTCGTTTAGGTTTTATTTACAGCCTGTGTTTATAGACACACGTACAATTGTGTGCTTCTGCAGTTCTCTTGTTTGGTATCGATAATGTGTCTTACTCACCACTTTTCACACACCACTACACCGTCACTCCCACACACTACGTCAACCCCACACACAAGAACGTTATGTCACAGGCCAAACCGTGTCATTTCTCCCCACACACTACTATAGTCGCATTGCTCACACACATTACAACGTACCATTTTACCTACACCATTACAACGTACCATTTTCCCCACAACATTACAACGTACCTACCATTTCTCCCACAAAGTATAACCCTGAACCTCCCCCATCTTCTAACGAAGCCGACATGACAATACAGTATGGTATCAAAGTATTCAAGTGATATTGTTGTTAGTGTTTGTCGCCGTTTAGGATTAGACCCAGTGCTTCTGTAATGGACAGTGTTAGAACTAGTCACGGTCCAGTAACTGAATTAGTATCATTCGAGAGTCCAACCAGCCATATCGCTTACCTGGCTCATGCATGAGGGTAGCTGCAAGGTCGTTTGCTACATTGTTTATAGTAATGTTTACTTTACATACTCTTGTTTCAGTGAAGGTCACAGTTATAGATAGGGTTATAGCCAAACCAGGGTAGCTAAACTATCAAAACACGCAGCCCCTTAGAAGTTCCGGTGTTCCTATTCCAACACGAGCAAGTGTTGTTTATAGTTACGCCGTCTAGAAACTAGACACATCATATCAAAGACATTCCTCTCGGTGCTTTGTTTATCTTCCATTAATCTTCGTCGAAACCCGTGATTGATCGCGATCGACGTGTAAGCATAAAAACACCAGCTCGATCAGTGTGTCACGTGTGATGGTACAGTTGGTCGTAGTCTGGGAGGGTGGACAGAGAGGTATTGTTCGAATCTGAGAAGAAAATAAATATTGTGTAAAGCACGTTTCGGTGTTAAGTCTTCGTTAGATTAGTTGAAATAAAAATATGAAAGCACGAACAGCGTAAAATTTAATATGACTGGGTCTTATTGTTTTATCCTGTGGTAGTATGCGAATGGTGTCTTTATGTTATGCATATATATGTTTGTTGTTGACAATAGTCTCTTTGTTAGGATAGTGGTGGTAGGATTGGTATTTTAGTCAGAATTTAGTCAGTAATTTAGTCAGTATTTTTTTAGTGGGGCTTAAGTATAGATACTCAGCAACGCGTGATAATTAATTGAATTAGCAATGCTTTTATTTTTAGTGTTTAGAATAGATGTCTCAATATTTTAGTAAATTAGCAATGTTTTTAGTTTAGATTTCACAATATTTTAGTACAATAGCATTGTTTTTAGGTATAAATTTCACAATATTTTAGTAAATTAGCAATAGCGTTAATTACGCTCCCCTCCCCCCACCCCTGTACGGTGACGTTATGTAACCAGGTCATCCCCTCACTCCCGGTGTTTGCGTAAGGTTTCAGCTTGACCCTTGACCTCGCGGCCCCTCCCCGTTTTATCGCGCCGAGAGTGTAACACACGGCTCCCATTCTCTGGTCAGTTAACGATGAATAATGAATGACCGGTCATCAAGTGCGTGTTAAGCTGTTGGGCTCTTGCTTGTAGCCTACATATCGCTGATTCGTCAGCCTTTGTCTTTTGTGTAGATAAATGTTAAGTGTAGCATCATGTTAAGTGTAGCCTTCCTTGAATTGTTCGATATAAAAGGGGTCAAGGGAAGTATGTACGAACAAGAATCCTGGTATTTGAAACGTGTTTATTTTTTGTGTTGCGCAACTGGTAATGAAAATTATAATTGGTAGCTTATTTTAAACTCGTTTGTTAATGTAGGGTTAAGATAGGAATACGTTGGGGTTAAGATTTGCGCTTAGGTTTAGTGTGAGGTCAAGACTGCTGACGAATAGGTTTAGTCCAAGTCCAGTCTCAGCTTTAGGGTAAGTTTAACTTGAAAGCTTAAAATTACTGTAAGGTTATAATGAATGGAGCCGTCAGTTGCGTGTAGGTTGGGTTTAACATTTCTAGCCTTAGTGTTGACTTAGTGTACAAAAAAAAGTATAGACAAAGGTTAAGATTTCCGGCTGTTGTCACAATATCATATTGTTGACAAACCACATGTCATGCCGTCATTTAATTTACCGAGAAACGCCTACACCCGTTGTAGGCAGTTAGCACCCCCCCCCACACACACACACACCACTTAACTTTTCTTTTAACAAAAAAAAAACGGTCATGTCCAGACTGGGAACCGTCTGGGTTTTAAATTTTGTTTTTGTCGGCCACAGGTGTTAGTGACACTGTCGTCTGGTCGCTGTCATTTGTCTTCTGCTCTTAAAGATATTTCTTTCATGCCTTTAAAGATATTTCTCCCCTGCATTTAAAGATATTTCTTTCAGGCCTTTAAAGATATTTCTCTCCTGCATTTAAAGATATTTCTTTCATGCCTTTAAAGATATTTCTCTCCTGCTCTTAAGATATTTCTTTCATGCCTTTAAAGATATTTCTCTCCCGCTCTTAAGATATTTCTTTCATGCCTTTAAAGATATTTCTCCCCTGTCCTTTAGGATATTTCTCTCCTGCCCTCTGAAATATTTCTCTCGTACTCTAATGTCTATCCACCTTGGTGTTAAATCTATCCGTCGTGGTTGTAAATCTATCCTCTATATTCTCAAATCTATTTGTCCCTTGCTACGCTATTATCTCGCTTATAAATACAACTCCCCATTCATCCTTAACTAGAAAATTACATAGCATTTATCCAGCTGTCTTTGACGCACTCTACTAACCACCGAACAAAAGGGTGGCTATTTTCTCTCTAATTAGTAATCATCATTATGTTATGGCCATGACTAATGTCCACGTGGTACTCACGTAGCGGTGTGAGAACTGGTTTGTCATTGTACTCACTCACGTCCCCGTCCATTCATTATTTAAAATAATCTGTCCACTGGGAGGTGTGTAATGACATACCTTCCTTACTGGGTGTTAGATCAAGATGTGACGATGGATATCTAGAGGTGGAGTTTGTTAGTTAGAGGTGGTGTTCGTAGGTAGTTTTTTATATTGTGATGTATTGCTTGTAGTAAAATCTTAGTTAGAGGAGGTGTTCATAGTTAGATGTGTTTTACTTAGTAGTATTGTACTTAGCAAGAGGTATTGTTCTTAGTAAGAGGTACTGTTCTTAGTAAGAAGTATTGTTTTTAGTAAGAGGTATATTGTTCGCAGTAAAAGGTATTGTTCATAGTAAGAGATATTGTTTGATGTAAGAGGTGTTGATGTAAGAGGTGTTGTTCGTTGTCAGTGGAGATATTCGTAGTTAGATGTGTTATTTTAAGCTAGAACTTATGTTCGTAGCTAGAGGTATTGTTCGTATTTAGAGGTGTTGCTCGCAGCTGGATATGTAGTAAGTACGTGCGTTTTTTTTAAAAATTAGTTCAGTCCCAAGTTGACTTTAAACCCCAGAGTCACATGACCTTAACACAACCCGAACCTCCCCACAACCCTAAGTACCACATCGTATCTCATCACACTCCGCACCCCCACCTCCACTCCTAACACAACACCCCAAATTACCCCCCCCCCTCCCACCGACCCACGCATCATACATGACCCCTTGATAACCCTACTCTATCCCGACCATTAACCCATTCCATTGCGATGAAAAACAGCCAGGTCTCACTCATGTAATTATCCTTTTATTACGGTAAATTACATCAAAACTGGTGGGTGACAGAAAATACCAGTGGCTTATCTTCCTTACAAACTTAATTATCCCCCCCCCCCTCGCACAATACTCACACACTAAAACCCCCACCTCCCCCTCCCCCTCTCCACTACGTTTTAATTCCAGTCATATCTTGTTTAGTAAGAGACGGGTATCGTAGGGCGTGTATCGTATAGGACGAGTATCGAAGGGCGTGTATCGTATAGGACGAGTATCGTAGGCGTGTATCGTATGGGACGAGTATCGTATGGAACGCATGTCGTATGGGGCGTGTATCGCAGGAAGTGTATCGTAGGGCGAATATCGTAGGGCGTGTATCGTATAGGATGAGTATCGTAGGGCGTGTATCGTATGAGACGAGTATTGTATGGAAAGCATGTCATATGGGACGTGTATCGTATAGGACGAGTATCGTAGGGCGTGTATCGTATAAGACGAGTATCGTAGGGCGTGTATCGTATAAGACGAGTATCTTATGACGATTATTGTATGGGGTGAGTTTCGTAGGGCGTGTATCGTGTGGGACAAGTATCGTATGGGATATCGGCCTTGACACCGCGCCATCTGCAATAACCAAGCGTCGCGGCCATGTTGCATTGACGGCCAGCCGACTGAGGCCTTGACCTTGTGC